TCATTTTGACTATTTTTAGCTCCTCTCCACAACTCTCTTTAAGCCCCTGGCACAAGCGTAAATGGAAATTTGCCAAAAAAGCGAGTAACTAGGTACCCCTGCAGCGACCACGGGAGTGGTGCTTGCAAACAGAGCCAATTTCTTCCTCTGCTGCTCTCAGCCTCTCCCTGCCCACATCAGGATGGACTTCTCCTCCCACCACCCCTTTGAGATGAGGAAGCATCTCCTCATCGTACACATGGGAAAGCAAGATGCAGGAAAAGCTCACTTCCCCAGGCTGCACTGGGGACCGTCCCGGTGGAGCTGGGAAATGCACGTTCTGGCTGCAGCCACACCAGTAAAACAAACCGTGCTGGGACTGCCCCACAGCACAGAGCAGGGCGGCAGCAGCTTCCGTCCCTGCGCTGAGCTCCCTGCCACGGGACAGTGCCTTACATTAAACAAGTCCCTCTCAAAAGCGATACTTCTGACTGTGTGCCTGCAGAGGCTGGCACAGGTTTCACTTGAATATGGAGATGCTGTCGTAATTTCACCGAAAGGAAGGACTGAGAACTTAAATGGCATATAAGGAATCACATATTGATCACTGCCTACTTTAAACATGCATCAATTTAAATATGCATCATGATGACCACAGAGACGATATCCTTTCATAAACCCAGGAATATTAATGTGTGGCTTGCTGCTTTCAGGATCACTTGCTCTACTACATGTCTTAAGCTGCTGGCTCCTAACTGTATTTCACTTTCACTTCACCCTGAATTTAGCTAATCTCTCACCTGAAAAAATTCAGACAATTAAAATTCTTTGGCATTTCAACCCTACCATCTTCATTCATTGTTACAAGATTTCTTGGTCCTCTTCCTGAATGGAAGGTTTGAGCCTCATGCTTTTATGTACTGCTCATCCCTAACACATCTGTCTAATCTGTTTAGCTGTGGGACCTTCAGGATGACCTCGAGGTCATTTAAGCACTGATTTCAGAATAATTCAAGCTTAGTCACTAGTGCCTTTGTGCTAAAATAAACACACTTTGCTTAGCAGCTGATAATAGGCATACCACCAGGCTGCACTCCCAGGATGTGGGTGCTTTTGTCCATCATTTTCTCAAATGACAGCTCTCTCCTTTTGAAGTTCATACAGGGAGGGGTTTACCAGGGACTTGCAACGGCCCAAGGAGGATGTTGGAAGATGCATCATTTGCTTGCTGGGGAGCTGGACTCAACTTTCTCTTTTGAAGTTGCTTTTCCTTTATTTATTAAAAGGACAATGGGGTCACAAATCCATGTTCAAAGACAAGAGATTGCTCTCGATGTATGTAATGGTAACAGGGCCATGTCCAGATCCCAGAGCCCTATGGAGATGCATGACCAGGACCCCGCATTGCTGGGGAGGCAGTGTGGACCTCACTTATCTAAGCACCATGGAGCTCCCTGCTGTATCTGCACAGCAGATGGGTGAGAATCACTGCAGACTGGCAGCTGCTCCTGGGTCCCTTCCACACTGACAACTCTGGGCCTCTGTCATTACAAAAATCAGTCCTTCTTAGAGCACCACAGCTGTAAGATAAATTTGGACATGTGATTACTAATGGCAGGTTAAATACAAAAGGATTTCAGTTTCCGGATTCACTGGATGTAAGCTCCTGACACGCTAGTGGGACAGCAGGCTGGAAACACCATCAGTCTAGCTGCTAAGGATCGAAACAAGCTCCTCCTCAGTCCCGGGTGGCTCTGGCCCAAGCTGCAGTCCTTCCCCCAGTTTTCATTTCCCCCATGTGGAAGTATGAGGGGGGTCAGATCAAGGAACCTACTTGGGTCCCTGCAGACAGCACAACGGGCGCAGGCAGAGCCCAGAGGCCTCAGCTCCCCCATACCATAGAGAAGTCCCTGCTGCCCACAGTTCAGCAGCACACAAGACCCACTGGTGCCCAGCCAGCACACGCATTTATGGAGCCCTCCGTGGATACTGACTTTGCTGACAGGCAGTACAGTGTACTACCGTGCGCAGCAGACTAGGTTGAGCATCAGAGAGCTCTACTTAATTTCTACCACCTGTGCTATTTCTGTTGGGTGCCATGAAAGCTGGATGTAGCACTGAGTCTGGCACAGAAGCGTCAATATTTCCAATCCACTCTTGAACTGGGGCTGCACGGAAGAGTCACTTAGATGCCAGCACATCCTCCAAATCAGGTAAACTCAGACTGTGATCAACCAGGAGATGCCCCAGGTCAGATCAAAGCCTTGGTGAAACCATGGGCAGAAGGATAAGACGTCTCTTAGAAAAAACTGCGCTAAGACACAGTAGCTCCATTACCATTAAG